TGTAATTAACAAACAAACAAATATATTCAGTAACAAACATAAGTCTAATTAGTAACAAATCTAACAACAAAATGTAGTAACTTCAAAAATCTGTAGTAGTAACCTTTCAATATAAATAACCCACTGGCGGAATTATTTGCTTAGTTCCTATAGTTCTGACAGTTTGAAAAAGGAATAACAGTCTGCTTGAACTCTGGAATAAATTTATTTTCGGCAAGCTATTGATAGTACTCACGATGTCACGAGTAATTTGATATTTATTCACTATCTTCTCAGCAGATGAAGGGTGAAAGTAGACGATGCATCCGAAAGCGTGCAAAATTTCAGGAGTAGTTTCCAGCATGTGCTATTTTCTAATGAAATATTCAGCTTGAAAATTTTGTTCTGGATTTATAATAAAATTATGGACAAAGGATATGTAAAGTGAGTGGCAGAAAATTACATCGTCGAAAATATGAAGAACCTGTTCAGTACCTTAGATTCTTTGTGTTCTGTGCATTTACATGACTGCAATGGATGTGTAATAGGACATACACTGAAGGCATTTTAAGTTACTTTCCCATTTATCTATTTAGAAACATTAGTTTCTCTCTTAAAAATATCATATATCGATTTATAAGAAGCTACCGATGCTATCGGTAAAATCCCTATTATTCTCTACACTTCATATATATTAACTATAACAGCTGCTGATTACAAGGAAATCTTTTGTACTCTGAAAACAAAAAAGCATTTCTAGTATTATTTTTATCCCAATATTTCAGAATGCGACAGCCTCTTTCATTCAGCCATCCAATCCCATAATCTTACAGCTCTTAGAATGATAAAAAAGATTTGTGAGGAAACCATGTCTGTTCCTGAAATGGTACTGCAATACGGGGTGAAGAAATAAGTTAATGATAATCTCCATTTGTAATTCTTTAACACCGCGTAATGAGTGTATGTGGTGGAAAAAGTTTCTCAGTGCAAATTACTTTCCTCTATGAAACTCCCTAATAAAATGACCCCTTCATTATGAATATTGTAATGAGGTAATATTGTAATGAGGTAATGAAGTCAATATTTGTGGTGATGTTAGATCATTATACGTAATATGTGAGCTTATTAAGGAAGACGATATGTGTAGGACGAGGTATCGAAGACGATAAAGAAGATTTTTCATTTGAATTTTTCTGATCTTGTTGCGACTATTGACTTTAATGACGCAATTGATTGATGATAAATGTTTTAAAAGTGACCACAACTGAGAAGTCAGGGCAAAATATTTCCTTCAGGTATCTGGAAGTACTTCTGATTCCAACTATCTGTAAAAACTGAGCTACCAGTAGGCATGGACGCTTCATACGTCAATAATTTCTTGATGGCAAGAACATTTCTCAGTTAATGTTATCAAAACCTTTCAACTGATTGCAAAATTACTCGCACAAGATCACAGTAAATATTCGTATAACATTCAAAATGTTTTGAGCTGTTAAGTTACAGTATTTTGAAAATGTTGTTTTTATCATCTTTGATTACAAAGCCAGTTGAAAAAGGGCTTCATGGTATTCATTCGTATGAATTTTTTAAAATTTTGAAGTTAATGCAGTATAGTTCGTATTTGAAAAAGCATTGTGAAAAATTTTAACTCAAATTCGTTGATATAATTTCGGTACTGTATTTAATTATTTTGCAAATTAAATCAGATAAATGTTCTTTATTTTATACTGAATTTTCACTTTCTGTAATTATTCAATTATTTAAGAATTTTCCAATTGGATTTCTTTATCAATAATTGTTTCATTAAATGTGTAACCACATATATTTAAATGTGTAACACAGATATTTAAAAGTAAAAATGTCTGTTTTAAAAAATATTAGGTTTAGGCTTGTATATTAACAGAATTACATTCCATCTATAACTAAACTATTTTTGAAATTATGATTTTAATTCATTTCTAGTAATAAAACAAATTCAAAATTCAAAATTCGTGTTTCTATGTGCCCATGTTCGGGTGAAAGATTACGTTATTCAAAATTTGATGGCTCTAGATACTTTTCGGTATCCCAGGAACCCTACTATATGTGATTGGCTTTGATGAACTTGTACCACATTATGCTTAAAGAAGACTTAATTTCCATCATGTCTACATGAAGAATGATTATGGACGTTATATAATGCAGTATGTTCTGCCCATCATATTTTTGTGGTTTTACTTCAAAAGGAAATTTCTATAAAAAGTACGTTTTATTTCAGAAACAAATAAATTTTACTCTTAAATCTTTTTTTATAAACTTACTTGGGTATCAATATTAATATAAGCCTTTATATAATGTGTAGCATAAACACAAATATCTCGTTAAGCTTATAGAGTTAGCTTTCTTAGGCCACATAATTCTAGGTATTCTGATCAAATTTTATGTGACGTTAAAAAAATTTATATTCTCAGTCAACCAACAGAAGCACATTATAAATATCTTTCAGAAGGTAATTCTCTCAGAAATTCAAAAATATTTAGAAGTATCCGTCCAGTACGATAACATAGTTCTAAAGTTAAAAATCGATAATTTATGAAAAAAAAGGCCAATAGTGTAATTCACTTTCATTCAGTTTCCAGAAAACTTGAAAAACCTACTTTAATGTCCAATTTCCGTAATAAGCTCACACATCGCTTATCATTCACTGCGTCACTGCAAATGTTGAATTCATTACAAAGTTCATAATGAAGGAGCCATTTTATTAGGGAGCGCTACAGAGAACAGTAATTTGCGTTGAGAAACTTTGTTTTTGTTGTTACCTATAATTTGACCTCTTCTGTTACAACACGTAGCTAATCTCCCACATGGAAAATTTTGTGTAGAGAACAAGCATTTGGTATCGTTAAACTTTGATAGAATTATGTAACGAGTATCCAATAACAGCTTTGTGAAAATTTTGATTAGATTTCTGACTTTGATATAACTAGTTAACTAATTAAATTAACTTTAACTAGTTAAATTTTAAAAAAAGAATTGATGATCTGCCAGTAGCTGGTTAGAGACAAAGATGAAAACCAGTTTCATTTTGTTTATATATTATTATTATTTTTTCGAAAGAAAATCAAGGAAATCGTAATTATTAAAAGACTTTTATGCGGTTTGATAGAGAAGAAGGAAAGCAAACCCAAGATTTTAGGATAATGACATATTAAATCTTCTGCAGTCACGACCATAAACAAAACAATGAAACTTTCGTAGCAAGTGAAATGTTTACATCCAATGAGGTATAATACTTGCATTAAAATTAACTATTAATAACAACAAATAAACGCGTTGTATATAAACGAGAAACAGTTAACAAATGGACAGAAACTATTTCATCTAGTGGATCTGTTAACTTAATAAAGAAGTGTTACTCAGTATAAATTATAATTATTTATACCAGCAATGACAAAATCTGTCACTTTATAATAATAGATCTTCCTCTAAATAAATTATAGCTATTTATACTGGCATCTTTTCTGACCAACCTTAGTAAAATTGGCTATTGCTGTGGCTCACTGTTTTAATAAAATACTCTGCTTTAGAATATGTCGTCTTGAATTTACTTGGTAGTAATTAAATTCAGAGCACTTAGACTTAGTAATCCATTATCCTATAATCACGAGACTTGAGTGAAAACTCACAATTATCATGGCAATTGTTTTCGTGTTCCACGTGTCACGTACTATATCTGTTCTTACATATTATACCGTTTCGAACTTCTTTCTAGTGTTAAGATTCATTACAAAATTAAGTATAAATTAAAACTGAAAATAACAAAACAGTTATAATGGCTTTAAAATAACTTCTAATATTGACTGATTTTGAAACTAGTTATTATAAAATAATGTGTTTTAAAATATGTTAGCCACTCTGAAAAATACTGTGTACACTGTATATTATTTAATAAAGGTATTTAGAGTACGAAGCAATACGGCTTAATTAAATTTATATAACATCATGTGCTCTGAAACTGCAAAATTTCTGCATACTACGTCCTTTCAAATCCACAGTCCACTTCAAACTCCTATGACTCTCTTAACATATGGAATCCACCTACGAGTTGACATCTAAATGTCTTATGGCTAACACCCTGGAGAGGCTAGTTTGTGCTAGCCCCTTCAGGGTGTTAGTCATAAGAGCTTGGCCATAAGCAAGGGTGTTATCCATAACCCTCCAAGGTGTTAACCATAAGCTAGGGTGTTAGCCTCTGTAGGCTGTTAAACTAACAGAGATTAGCTTCAGCGACGTACAGTTATGTGCTTATATAAATATTAATGAGTCTTTTGTGTCTGCCAGGCCATTGGCTTGGATAAGATTTCAGCGTTAAGCACTAATGTTTCCGATTCTATGCTTTCTTAGCGAAAAGAAGTATTTTAAATATGTTAGTCAAACATCCTCTCGAAAGTCCGATATCACGTAAAAAAGCATAAGTTCTTTGAATCCTATTCACTCATGCTCAAATAGGGAATCCTTGGCCCAAATTGTGATGATGATCAGCATTCTTTTCAAGGCTTTTGCGCAATATATACTCATTTGTTTATCTCCGCCTTTGATTGTTCGACAGGTCTTTTTGCACATGCAGATTTAGAAAAATATTTCTGTTCCCTTTTATATACATGAAGAAATGAATAATTCATTTAAAAATGTAGTTGCTTTTCGAATGAGTAAATTTTTATATACAAGGCAAAAATGTTCCGAAATATAAATTTATGATTTCAAATTCTTCAGAGTGATTGTTAATGTTTATTGATATGAGTACAAAAATATGTAAGTTAACATTTTAAACTGAAATTTCGTACAGAACTCTGCTTCATTTTCTTAAATCAACCCCATAAATGACATGTGACTATTTTAATGAAATTTTAGCGATATAGTAAATTCTTTATGGCAAGATAGACTGTTTCCATAAGAAGCTCAATTTGAATTGACTGTAATAATGACAGACAGATTTGAGAAAATTTCTGAAAGATAGATTTGAAATGTTCTTCTCACAGAGACTACCGCAGTCACAGGTTCTCCAGCTGGCGCCGTCCGTGGAACATCAGTCATCAGCCATGCTTAGCATCCTCAGGAGGTATTCCTGGCACAAATTTGCCATCGTCACCAGCCAGATAGGAGGCCATGATGATTTTGTACGTGCCGTTCGAGACCAAGTGCTGGCCATCACAGATTTTAAGTAAGTAAAACTTCTATTAGTTTATCTGAAAAATTTTGAATATATCAGCTTATTATCAAATTTTCACAATAAGTAGAGCCGAATAACAGCAGATAAGAAAAAACATGCAACAAAAATGAAAATAAGTTAGACATCTCCTAGAATAATAACACGAAAATATTTTACAACTATCGTAATAAAGCAACCTGTGAAGGTGACTACTGTTTCTGAGGATATAATAACTTTATTTATCATTACCACTAGCTTTTAAAGCGAGTTTCTTTGCAGTATATTAAAGTGCCTGAGATCACAGATAATCGTATTAGGAAAACTTCATTCAGCACGGAGATCATATGTAAATGTTATTTTAAGAAAATTAGAAGAAAAATTGTATTCTAATCTTTCTGTCTGCATTCTAGTTAAATATTTGAAACAGATATTTATCTAAACGACAAAAAATATCTAAATATCTCAATTTAGGACTCGCAAATGAATATCAATTATGCAAACTAAATGCAGTAGGTTTCGCAGCGACTAAAAAAAATATGTTAGGGTACAAAAGTTTATTATCCTTGTAAAACCCACGCAGAAAATTTTCGCCATGAGTAAACATCTTATTATTACTCAGAAAGACACTTTTTCTGTAATTAAGAACACAGTTTACTATATGGAAGACAAACGTTTGTCAGAGATGCACTTTGTAAAAAAATCATCTCCACTTAAGCGGAGTACTCGCGATTACCCGATTACCTCCCCCCGATTATTTACGTCTGAGACTTGCAACATATATACACCAGATAAATAGATCGATCGATCAAACATCTAAATAGATTGTGAAGGTCATTCTACTTACCTAATACGTAAAACAAATAAAGTTGCAAAGCATTGTGTTTCGGCAGTATCGGCAACAAAAACATTCGGCAGATTTTGGCTTTCTGTTTGGCGCGATCATTCTCCTTAATAGTGGACTCCAAGCTTTCACAAGGAATACAAATACGCAAAATGTGTTTCACACATTTAAAAATTTATAAATGTTTTATGCATTAAGTGTAATATAAAAAAGTAAAACACATGAACATAAAGAAAAGCAACAAAACAAAAAAAAAATTATTCTCACTAAAACTTCAAAAAAATTGCTACGAACCAGTGTTACTAAATTTTGTATCTTCTTACCTATTAGAAGCAGGCTTCGAATCTATTATTTACTAAGAAAAATAAGAAATACGTTGAATACTTTTCAAGGAGGGGATTTAAGAATTAAGTGAAGCAATTTTTTAAATGAATATTAAAAAATGTATCAATACATCACATTCATTGAAATTAAATTTTTGAATCTATTTTTTAAAGTCTAATTTTTTTTTTATTTCTGAAAAACATGATTATATTTGTAAAATTAAAAATAATAATAATACAAAAAACAATAAAACCTAAATATAATGAACCATTTTTAAAAACCTTTTGCTCATATTATAAGGTATTGCTCCCGCCTTCTTAGCCTGCCTTTGTAGTGCAGTGGTCTGCACTGTGAGCGCATATTCCAGAGGTCAGTGGTTCGATTCCCGGCGAGGGTGCTGCTCATTTTTTATCTTGACTACTTCCAAAAAAAATCCTAATGTCATTACAATATTCTTAGTCTAATTGGAAGTTATTTCCATGCAGTTGCTTCTATTATGATGATGTCATATGGTGAGACTACAGAGAAATGTATACTATATACTAGTTTTTATCAAATGGATTCTCTCCAAGGACCTGTAAAATATTTCGGTACGTTCTCGCGGACCGGTAAGTTTAATAATTCGACCCATTGGCACAATTTTTTCACATATATAAATCATGAAGACAAAAATGATTTTTAAAGCATTTTTTTTTGTTATAATTTACATATGCACATTCAACTTACTTAAAATATTGCATCGAAAATAAAACTACCAAAACTTAACTAAAGTTCTAAGAAAATTCTAATATTTCGTGGACCGGCAAATAATTATTGCGGACCGGCGGTTGAGAAACATTATATACTATGGAGAAATATGCAAGAGGGTCGATGAAGAAAATCATTCTTTCAGAAGCGGTCAATGCACGAAAATGGTTAGGAATCTCTACTGTAGATCCACGAAGACTGTAAATAACGATAAATGAGCATAAGAGTTCAGAATGTGATAAAAAAAAGAAGTGCAAGTGTGTATTAATTGCATAAGATTTAATAAAAAGACGGAAAATGCAACTAAGAAAGTTGATGTAAATCATAAGCCATTTTCTGGAACCTGCCCCAGCCATACATTTATGATGAATCTTGCAGCTTCAAAAATTTATTATGGGTAAGTCCGACAATTTGTCTGTTTCTTTGTACAAATAAATTTGCACAAATCAAAACTTGCTACTCAGCAACTTATTTTATATATGGAGGCAAATGACACTGATGTCGCACTGATTCAGGAGCCGCACTTTTATAAAGGTGTTCTTCCTGGCTTTCCAATAAAATATAAAGTTTACTATGATTCCGAAGCAGAGGTTTTCAAGTCTGCTGTTATTGTTCGCAACCAGAATCTTTCTCCTTTTTTAGACTTAAATCATACAGTTTATAATACTGTTGTTTTAGATATAAAAATCAATGGATCTGACTTGACTATTTGTTTCCGCTTATTTCGAGCCCCAAACTATATTTGACATAGAACTATTAAAAATTTCACAATTTTAACGATGAGAAACCATGCAATTTTTATGTGGTATGGATTCGAATAGCAAATCAGCGATTTGGCATAGTCCTATTACTGACGCTAGAGGAACGAAACTTAGTGATTTTATTAGTGCGAATCGTTTGTTTCTACTTAATGAAAATCGCGGACCTACTTTATATGTTCTACGCAAGGCTCGAGTTATATTGACCTTACGCTTTGTAGCTTAAGACTGCTGCCATACGTTCAAGGTTGGGATATCTCTGAGGAAGATTCTCTTTCTGACCATAAAATGATTATTTTTGAACTTTTTTTTATGCCGTCCGATTATATCTTCTAATTTGTGTACTTTTAATTTAAAAAGAGCGAACTGGTTTTTATTTACTGAACTTTGTAAGAGAGAATTGTGTAACTTGAATATCCTTCTTAACAGTTGCTCTGATGATTGTATTGCATTAGAAAAATGTTGTAAACAGACTTTCTACCGTTGTTTTTAATTGTGCTTTACTTTCAATTCCGATGAAGAAAAGTAAGAAGAATGGGGTCCCTTGGTGGTCTAAGGAAATTGATTGTTATAGAAAGCATGTAAATGCTGCTAGGCGTAGATTCCAGAGAGAAAGAAACTGTCTTCTTAAAAATATTTATAAAAAATTAAATATTTCGAATTGCGGCATAAGTACAAGGCTAAATTAGCTAATGCTAAGCTTGAGTCGTGGAGAAATTTTCTCAACTTGTTCACAATGTCTGGAAATCTATATATAAGTATGGGGTTAAGACCAATTTTGCGAAAAGGATTGAGATTTCGGGAATTAAACTCCCGGATGGCAGTGTTACTTCGAGTTTGAGTGATACAATTGTTGCTATAATGACAAAGAATTTCCCAAGAGATAATGCGCGTGATGATAGAAATTCTCATAGAACTATGCGCACTGAGTCTGATGGACCTTATATTTCTTTTATGGACTGTCCGTTCTCTACTTCAGAAGTTAACAGTGTTATTAAAAATCTCAAGAAGAACAAATCACCTGGGCTTGACTCTCTTTCTAATGAAATGGTACAGCACTTTCATGCGGTGGATAGCACTTTCCAGCACAATGGAAGAGAGCTCGGGTTGTTTTGATTCCTAAAACGTTAGATATAAGAACCCCTTATCTTGATAATATTAGATGCATTAGTCTTTTGCCTACTTTGGGAAAATGTCTTGAAACTCTCTTCATTAACAGAATAAATTGGTATTTGAGACAGAAATGTTTTTATAATGATTCTCAGTTCGGATTTTACTCCTCGGAAGTCCGCTGAAGATGCCATTATTCGCCTTTGTAATATCTTGCAGTGTGCAAAGAAAATGAAGTATACTACACTTCTTATTTTCCTGGATTTCAAAAGGAGCTTTTGATAATGCTTGGTGGCCATCTATCTTAAAAATTTTAAAAGATGCTGGTATACCACATAATATCTATAACCTTCTTAAAAGCTTCTTGAACGAGAGACCCGCTGAGCTTCAGCTTGGGAACGAAGCTAAGGTTTATTCTCTAGAAAAAGGCTGTCCTCAAGGCTCTGTATCCCGGACCTACTCTTTGGAACATAATCATAAATGATCTTTTAAGTCATCTCGACGGTTGTTTAAAAATTGCGTTTGCAGACGACTTACTATTAATTTTCCAAGGAAAGATTTAAATAACATTCTTTTGAGAGCACAAGAAGTTCTAGATTTTGTCTCTAATTGGGCGATTTCTCATAAACTATAAGGTATTTCTCCCACTTCCCTAGTGTGCTTTCGTGGTGTACGTTAGCACGTGGCCAGTATTCAGAGGTCCGTGGTTCGATTCCCGGCGAAGCTTTGCATATTTTTCATCTTTTCTGCTTCCAATTAACCTAATCTAACAAGTGGCACCCGAACTAAAAGGGTTGTAGATGATGATTCTCCGCACCCAAGATTTAGCGACTAGGGTCTCCTAAAACCATAGTCACCCCTAAAAAGGGGCGTATATAAGGTATTTCTCCCACTTCCCTAGCATGCCTTCGTGGTATAACGGTAGCACGCTGGGCCAGTACTCCAGAGGTCCGTGTTTCGATTCCCGGCAAAGGCGGTTGCATATTTTTCATCCTGTCTGCTTTTAAAAAAATACCTAATGTCTCTACAAACTCACTTTCAATTCCTCAAAAAGTAAAGCTATGATTGTTCCCAGAAAGTTTGATGAGCAAAATATTGCTCCTTTGATACTTGATGATCCGTTGGAATTCGTAGAAAATGTTAAGTATCTTGGTGTCATTCTTGACCAAAAATTAACATGGAAAAAGCACATTGAATTCCTTTCTGCTAAATTTGAAAAAATTATTAATGGC